TTTTTTTTAAATTAGCAAGATACTTGTTATAAAGTACGTTAAATTAATAATAGCTCTAAATAAGGCATGTTTAAAATTCTCAAGCAAGTCACATTGCATTTTCGGTTTCAAGCTGATAACTTGCTTAAGAGTCCTAATCAAGATTATAGTACATGCTATTAATAAATTAAACTTTTGTTATATATTGTTGCATTTTACAAGATAAAGATACCGCTAATTTTAACCTGATCAAAGTTTACTGATCAAAATTATCTTTGGCGACTTTGATTTCTCATCAAAATTAGACATCATAATCAGCTGCTGAATTGTTAAAATTTTTATATATTCATATTTAACATGACTATTAAGAAATAGCTATATAATTCTCAGTTTTAAGTATCAAGATTATGCATGTAAATCAGAAGCAGCAATTTTTTTTTTCAAAAAAAAAAAAGACCAGACAGTACGCCAAGTTTTATTTGCTCTAAAAAGATGCAAATCGGGTTACAAACCCTGAACAAGGAGTATAAACTCTAATAGGATTATTATAGAAAACCCGATTTATATAATTTAAAGGTTTTAGATTAATGGAGAACTGTTCTAAAGTTCCAGAAAGATTGAATATATACTCGAAATATCGAATTTATTTATATTATAAGTACAGAAGTACAATATATTAGAAAAGAATTATTAATAAAATAATCGTGTTACTATGAAATTATTACAATTACCATTGATCTTGTGATTCATCCATATCATAATTCCTAATTGGAATTGGTGTTTCTTCAACTTCTAAAACTTTTAAATAATAAAAATAGATTAATATACTTCCCTGACCGTAATACTTAAAGAATTGTATAATTTAAAAGCTAAATGAGTAGTTGCGTCAAGATCAAATATATATCCAGTAGAATTAGTTCAATTCTAGTTTTCCAAAGCGTGTTAAAGAAAATGTGAGAACGTATATATACGAATTAAATATATTATATAATGATAAAGCTTACAAATCAAATGTACTGAATTTTGTTGCACACTAGCTTAATAAATAGGATCCTTTTGAATGTAAAATATAAGTTGCACTACAAATCTTAGATAAAATAGATGATTCTGAATATTACCGTGAAATGGATGATTCTGAATATTACTGTAAAATAGATAATTCTGAATATTACTATGAAATAGATAATTCTGAATATTATCATAAAACGATGAATGATTTTGAATATTATCATGATAACAATTTTAATCTAAAAACTGCAGGAAGTTCACTAACTCTATCTGAAACTTCTTGTTTATTGGCAACTACTAAGTCCAACATCCAGCTGACGCTTCATCTTCCTTCACCTTTAAAAGATAAAGAAAAAGGTATCAATATTAATAGTAATAAAACTAAAGATTTTAGTATAAATAATAATTATAAATTTTTTGCTTCAGCTAAAAATAAAAAGAAGTA